AGCAAGCACAGATCTTAGTTCTGAGAAGGATTTTGATGCAATCTGAAAGATCTGGAATCTGGAAAAAAGGAGTACCTCTCAGCAGCGATCGCTGCCATAAAGCTACTCAACGCTTGCGATGTCCAATGTTCAAATAAGTCTTCCGCAGCCTCTTCGGATAGCGGTACAACCATTTTTTTACCATCGTAGTACTGTGCTCCGAGCATTGTTTTATGCGCATCGGTTTCAGCAAACACCATCACATTATTCACAATCAGCACTGAAACCCATCTCAATTTCATGACAACACTGTCATGACTTTATAGAATTCCACTGTAATCTCTTTGTTATCTCTCGAAACGTTAACAAAGTTTGATTCCAATTGATCTCCTCGAAAATTACAAGCCACTGTGTTGCCTTGTTCAGAAACGGTTAATATTCATAAAATTATGCTAGCTTCCCATATTGTTGGCAAACGTATTCTCTGCTCCCAAAAAAATGGCAGGTTGAAGAAGAAAACCAATGAATTTTCCATGTTTAATAAATGCACAACGCAAAATGTTTAAAATCTGCTATTTAAAATCTGCTTTTTGCATGTTTGAAAAAGAAAATCCGCTTTCAAGAATAATCCATTTCCAGCGTGCTCTTCTCAAAGCTTCACACCATCGATTAGCTGTTTTAATCGGGTGATTTGAAAGCCACCAACAAAATGACCGAACTCACCTAAAAAGCAGCTGCATATGCGTANGGTGATTTGAAAGCCACCAACAAAATGACCGAACTCACCTAAAAAGCAGCTGCATATGCGTATCGTGCACCACATGATTGGTGTTCACCTGAAAACGATTGCTATAATGAGTGCCACCAAACAGGGTCATCGAGGCAGCCACGAGTTTATGCTGGCTCAGTTGGTTAGTGTAGCCGAGGATAATTGGCAAGAAACAGTACAATATGACGATCAGTTTTACGCTTACATGAGGCGAAAAGTAGACAATCAAATGGAAAAGAAGGAAATTGCAAAACTTTGGAATCCCGATCAATTCCAGAAAAGTTTCGCGGGAAATTTATCAGAAAACACTTCACGCCACTGACAATACGATGGATATGATGCACCTTGCCAGTGTTTTTGGATTTGGACTTTTGGTTTTTGGATTTTTAAACGGATTTTGGGAAGAGATTTTCAGCGAACTATGAGGATAACATTGATCTTATGCAATCGAATGGATGAAAATTTGCTGATTTTTTGCATTCCTTCAAGTTTTTTTTTCTCAAATCGTGAAATTCGGAGAAATTTTAACGAAGACAAGAGATTGTTTTGGGCAATAAATTAAAATCGCCTCATAATTGTCGTAATTAATCAATTGTTTGGATTCAAAATCAGATCATCACGGAACTGTCTTCTGTTGGGTCACTTATGATTGAACGATAGCAAACTGCCGATGACCACCTATTACTGCTAGATTTTTGGAAAGGTGATAGTTTGTGTTTTTTATGAGACCTATATTTTCACTATGAACGTTCAAAAAATCGGTTCCCTTTCTATTGTTTCTGATAAACATATCATTTATACGCAGAAAAACGTCCCTGAGCAAAGTGACCAGGAAGAAAATTTTCGCAGCGCACCGAAAATCCTACGATAATTTTTTTTTCAGACATTTCAGACAAGATAATTCAGACATTTTTTCTCGAATCTGTTCATCCGTTCGCTGTTTTAATCAAACAACGAACGGATAAATAGATTCGAGAAAAAATGTCTGAATAAAACAATAAACAAATGAACGATAAATCAACGTTTTTTAAACAATAAACGATAACGATAAAACAATAAAAAATAAATAAAACAATAAACGAAATCTCTTCAGTTGATTTCTGATCTCTTCATTCCCGCACCGTTGTAGATCACACTGATGATCAAGTGATAATATCCTATTCAATATCTCAAAGTTTCACATCTAAATATCAAAAACTGATTGATGAAGTGTTCACTCCGATTGTGAATTGTTATTGATTATGGAAACATCGGATGGGATTTGGAAATTTTATAGCAAAATCTGATATGTGTATCTATGTAATTAGTGGACAAACTGTAGATCGTTTGAGGTAATTAGAGGGTTCGGAAGGGAATCATCGTTGAGCTATTTAGGGAAATGTGATAATGATGTGATAATGATGATGGTGATTTTGAAGATAGTTTTTTGTATCGTGCCAGAAACTGTGCTGTAGTCTCGACGAAACGTGATTTTAATGCAATTATGTGTTGATTCGATGCAATCAAGTCGAATTTTGCGTCTGTTAATCATTTGATCTGATGCAACCTATTTGAAAATATGAATGAATTGGAGCAGAAATAACACTGATTGCATTAGTGCATTAATCAGCAACTGTATTCGTTTATTCGAAAACAACAAAACAAATGTTATCGTAATAATGTCATGTCACTGTAATAATTATTGTGATGGTTATTGTTTCACAATCGATCTTGTACAATTATTGTTGCGGTCATCAATCCATTTCATCTATTAGTTTCTGCTGGAAAATGCGTTCGAATGAAACAATTCAGCCAATTAATTTCCAAATCCATTGAGTGTTTTCAGTAAATATTCACTTGGATTCCATTTGCGCTGTTTTTTATGCAGTTTTTTTTCGTACCACTGGACTTGACCCTATGCTGAACTCCGCCGTCGAAAATCGTTGGAAGTTTCATTTGACTGAAAACTCATTAAAATATTCAATCTAAGATTAACGAAAACGTCAAGAGGGTNTTAATGCTCTTGATCTAGTTCAATTTAAATGATAATCTATAGCGTTTCGAAGAAACGACGATACAGACAATGAGAACAATATTTGAGATACGATAGCGGCATTATGAGAATCTCCCAAAGTATATCTCACAATTAGACATGTAATCGTTAGTATATCTCAGAAATTTATGCTTTTTTACTTTATTTGTGAAGAAAGCACCTGGATCAGCAACGGTATTAGATGGTGTAAATTTATGATGACGATTCAAGGAATTGATTTGCGCAGGTCATCTTATTTTACGTATATAGGATATAGGCAGCTGGAATTTCGGCAGATTTATTGCAATATGATATCGGATTAGACAATTCAATAATCTCATTATGATACCGGACTGAACGGAATGCATTTTTTTAGCATATGTTCCCAGGACAAGCACAAGCAAGGATGATATGATCTCACGAACCTTATATAAACTAAGTTCAGCTGCATTCAAACTGTCTTTGTAGTCAAATTCTCTCGAAGATTCATAATTTTGTCAAATCTGAGAGAATAGAATGTTTCCTGAGCCATACTTGTTGGATGTTCTTCAATGATTGGAAATTTCTCGTTCTTAAATCTAAACTTCCAATTGATCATCCACTATTTATGGTGAGTGAGGAATTACTATGGAGTGTTGCATTCATCCATATATTGCCGTGAAATATTATGGAGACTGCGTATGCTCAGGTATTGGAAACATGTTAA